TTTTTTTTGTTATGTAGAGACATAATTCTTGCTTTTATAAGGATGGAATCAGACAATACATAGCATCTATTCTGGGGCAAATTGCTGAACCCCTTAGGTCCTTGGTTTAATGATCTGCAAAATGGGCCTAACAAGAAGTAAGCAAAGGTCTATTTTGAGGAATGGGTCATCTGAGCACATTGAGGGGAGAGGAGGAAACACAGGGGAATTTAATAATGCCAGGAAAAATCACAGGTTCCAATGCATCCCATCCAATCCTCAGGGGAGGGAACCTTGGCCCAGGTGAGGTCACAGGCTTTGGAAAGACTCTTCTTCCTTTCTCATGAATAGTAGGAAAGGAGGAGGAGACAAACTCTAGAAACGGGAGAAAACAGTTGTGGCAACACAGTCTGACCAGGGAGAAGCCCAGCCTGGAGCCTGATGCAGAGCAACAGGACAAGTGGGAGTAGGTGAGACCATTTTCCACTGGATTTTCTGTGTAATGGTTTCCAGTCTTTCTCTAGCAGTATCTGCCAATATTCCACAAAGAAAGATGGCAGAGCGGCTCAGTGACAATGGCAAGGCCAGGGCAGCCAAAATCCATAAAGAACTGGCAGAGAACCCTACACAGCTCCCCTCTTGTGCATCTTAGCAGTTTAGGTGCAAGTGATGTGTCTGTGTACCTTGCTTCTACACCCAACTGTTTGAGCCCCTTTGGATGGAGACTCACTCTTATCTTTGCCCACATTGAACACAATGTCTGAGACATAGCAGGCATCAGTAAATAAATACCTGCTGCCCTGAAAAAGGTCCAGAGCGAGCAGGAAGACATCAAAACCTAAAGAGGGTTAGTGAAGGGGCAGAACAGAAAGGAGGCGACAGAGAGATGAGGGGAAGATGTGGTAAAGGCACACATAAAGGGAATTGAGAAAAAAGGGAAGAGGTGAAGGAGCTGAGGAAAGAAGTCCGAATCAGAGGGGAGAACTCAAAGGCCAGAGATATAGAATCAAGGGAGTTTCAAATGAGTAAATGACACCTAGTGTGCTCTACTGCTGGGTAGCGGATAGCACTTCTCAGTCTATAAAGTACTTCTGCATATAAAATTGTTTTGAAACAATTTAAGAAGTTCTACTATTTTTATGCCTCTATTGATGTGGGCCAAGACTTGGAAAAGCTGCCTACTTTCAGCTACAGAGCTGGGAAGTAGTGGAACAAGTCAAGGGCTCAGTGCCTCTCAGATCCGTCCTTGTCTGCACTACTTCACAGCCTCTCTGAAGCAAAGAAGCAACCTGTGACAAGACACTGTGAGCTCCATGGAGCTGGGCGAGGCCGGTGGTGTGGCTTCTGAAGTCACTGAGGACAGCAGGGAGAGATGGACAGGAGACATAGGCAAATAAGTAGTGGAGACCCAGAGACAAGGTGATGACAATGATTGGGTGGTCAAGAAGGTTCCAAGGCACTATGCTGAAGACAGAGAAGGCACAGCTTGCACCACGCCATGGCTTGGGGACAGGAGTCTAACTGTCTTTACTTTGATCTGAGAGAAGAAGGAGCAGCTACTACTGAAGAGCATTCAGTACTCCATGGAATCTGCAGTGGAGGGGAGAAGATAGAGAATGCAGATGGGGTAGGGGTTTCGGGGGACCTTGAATTTTAAAAGCACTCCCTAAGAAGGAAATACAAACATTTAATGGTAAGTAAACTAAATTTATTATGAGGAATTTATATTCTTATCCTTTCCTATCTGCAGAAACTAGAATTCCTCTTACCTGCTCCAGAAGAGAGGAAAAAGAAAACCCAGACCAGCAGCGCCTAGAAGGCATTAACTGAAAATAAGTTCCAAAATAAGCCAAGATATAAAGACACAGTGAAAAAAATGTATAGCCCAGCCACATGATAAATCAGGAACAAATTTTAAATGAACCAAGATAATCCAGGAGTGGTGGCTTACACCTGTAATTTGGAAACTCTGGGAGACTGAGGCAGAAGGATCAAAAGTTCAACCCCAGCCCAGTCAACTGCATGACTCAGCAAGCCTTGTCTCAAAATAAAGCATAAAATAAGGCCAAGACATGGAGCTCAGTGTGAGAAACCTGGGTTCAAGCACCACTGCAAAACAAAGCAAAAAAACAAAACAAACCCACAAGAGCTAGGATTACATCCTTCACATGTTAGGAAACATACAGCCCCTTTACCTCATGAGTGGTAAAAGAAAGGCAGGGATGAGACTAACCTTAGTAAGATACAAATATGATAGAGAAATGAGTGAATTCATTGGTTCTATTATCAAAGGAGGGTCCCTACTTTTATCTACTGGCCGTGAGCAACATCTTTGTTATACATGTGATTCCTTGGTAGGAAGATGAGCCAAACACTTTCATATTAGCAGGGCAACAATAAAAACGGCATTCCTCCCAGAACTAGAGAAAATAATTCACATGGAACAAGAAGTGACCCAGAAGAGCAAAAGCAATCCTAGATAATAAGGGCAAGGCAGGAAGCATCACAATCTCAGATCTGAAGTTACATTACAAAGCTAGAGTGCTAAAAAACAGCAGGGCACAGGCACAAAAACAGACATGTGGATCAGTGGAACACAGTAAGAGGATGCAGAATGGACTCCAGGCACATTTACCTATCTAATCTTTGACAACAGGGCTAAAACATACATTGGCGGAAAGATGGCCTCTTTAACAAATGGTGATGGAAAACTGGCTATCCATATGCGTAAGACTGAATCTAGACTGGTAACTCTCATCTGTAATGAACTAAAATCAAAGTGGACCAAAGGTCTAAATGTTACGATAGAAACACTTAGTTTGCAGGAAGAGAAAATATGAAGATATAGGTATAGCAGGGCTTTCCGAACAGAAACCCCATTGCAAAAGAAATATCATCAAGAATCAACAAATAGAATTTCATCAAATTAAAAAGCTTCTGTACAGCAAAGGAAACAACCAACTAAAAAAATGGAGTAACATTTTTCCCATTTTTCTTTGGAGACATGATTAGTATCTAGATACATAAAAATTAAGGCACCCCCAAAATAAAAGACCCAGTCAAAAAATGAGCAACTGAAATGAATAAACTTTTCAGAATTAGTAGTACGAGTGGCCAATACATGAAAAAATTGTTTAACACTTCCGGCCATTAGAGAAACACAAATTAAAACACTAAGATTTCATCCTACTCCAGAAGGAATAGCCATCATCAAGAAATCAGATAACAAATGCTGGCAAGGATGCAGGAAAAAGGATCCCTTTACATTGTTGGTGGGAATGTAAACCAGCGCAATCACTGTTAAAGTCAGAATGGAGATGCCTCAAAAACTGAAAATAAAAATTCCATTTGATCCAGTTACACCCCTTTTGATATCTTCCTGGAAGAGTTAAAGACATCATATTACAGTGATACACAGCCATGTTTACAGCAACATAATTCATAATAGCTAAATCTTGGAAGCAGCCTATACTTCCATTAACAGATGAATGAGTAAGGAAAATTTGGTATTTACACACAATGAAGTACTACAACTGCCATAAAGAAGCAAAGATCTGAGTTATTTGTAGGAAAATGGATATATTTTGAGATCATAATGTTAGGTAAGGAGCTGGGGATTAGGCTCAGCGGCACAAGTGACTGCCTGGCAAGCACGAGTTCGTGAGATCGATCCCCAGTACCAAAAAAAATACATAAAGAATAATGTTAGGTGAAATATATAGGACACATACGCTTCAATACCGCATGGTTTCTTTTATATGAAAAATCTAAAACATAAATTAAAGAGCAAAATAAAACATAGTAGGAAGCAGGGAGACAGATCTTTTGTAGAAGGGAAGGGGACCCAGAGATGGGTAGAAAGGGGAAAGAAGAGAGAGGAAGGGGATGACAACAAATTAAGATGTGTATGCATATGCACCAACCCCCCAGGAGGAGTGTAGTCATTAGGTACTGCAAACATTTACCAAAACAAAGCAGAGCAAAGCAAAATGGCGGCAGACGGGGGTGGAGTAGAATGTCTCTAAGTTCCCAGGATAATTTGGCTATGTGGGTGAACCTCCACAGTGAGAGGGCTGCAAACCAGCAAAAATTATGACTGGTCTGGACTCAATCAGCCTGAAGCAATGATACATGTCCCAAATCACTTGTTTTTAAATGGCAGGTTCCTTTTTTCCAGAAGCTCTCAATTTCTGGCAAGCAGTGAATGACTTTCTGTACACACAAACTGTGTTCCATTATCAACATCTGCTTATAAGAGCTGTTTGGAGACAATTATCTTTTTATCACATTATAATAGATAAATGACTCATCACAAGACAAATGGATCCAAACTGGCCACACAGACTTCTGCAGTCATCTCCTGAAGGCAGTGAGGAAGATGCTTCAGAAACACTCACTACCCATGTTCTGTGAGCCAGCTCTTCTCCGTGCCTGGGTCCTTCATCCGTTATCTCATTTCACCATTACATACCTACGTACTGAACAACTTCATCTTGCAGATGACGAAACGAAGCCTGAGGCCAAGTGACTTGCTCAGGTCAACTCTAAAGCTTCCTCCCTTCCACTAAAACATGTTTCACTCAACAGTGACACTAGCATCAAAAAGCTTCAGAGGACTTTTGAAGTCTGGCTTTTGGTCTCAAATGGCAGCTGAGAGCAAGTCTGATGCGATATGCCAGGGCAAGGCTGAAACTTGAAGACCTTAGGGATCATGAGTGTTCCTGTCACCAGTTTCCAATTTGTCTTAGGGGGAAAAAGCACACATCGTCTTAGTGCTTTGGTTTTGGCAAGCTAGAAATGGAAAAAGGATTACCTATTCCCCTGAACTCTTTAGAACATCAAGAGATATGAAAGTTGTTTAGAAAGAAAAGGGCTATGTAATCAGGTGGTCTCAAATCTGAGGTGGCTTAGACTATTTTAATTTAGAGTCTTCCTTGGCATTAAAACCAGTTACGGACCTAAAATGCCCAGCCCATTCCTGGAAGTGGGAAAGTGGAGAGCAGGGTGCACCGCAGCCTTACCAGCAGTAGTCCAGCAGATGTGGGGGCAGCACAGGGATGTACACATGCTGCCAGTACATGGGGTAGAGCATCGCGGCCGAGCCGTGGATGCAGGCAGTCAACTGCAACAGAAGCAAAGAAGAAATTCAGAAAAATCAAGGCACCAAGCACTGTCACCGCCTCAAAGCAAAATAAAACCTAAGATGTTCACATTAATACACTTAAATTAGAGTATGGAAAATCTGAAGAAATAATCTTAAATTAACTTGATCATCCTTAAGGCAAATTTTGTTAAGAATTTTCAAAAGAAAATTTTTTTCTGATTATGAATGGCAATGCAGGGTTGGGGGTATATTTAGTGGCAGAGCTCTTCTTTACTGTTCGTGAGGCCCTGATTCCAACCCTAGCACAGCAAACGAAAGGAAAAACAGCTAATTCCCCATTTCAAATAGAGGAACACATGCAGAAAATGGAGAGATACAAGAACAGATTATTTACCATTCTAGGGTATCATACACATAATCATTTATAATTCTTTTCCTAATAAGATTAGGATGACTACAAATACAGTGTTCTTTTGTTCTTTTTAAAATTAACATTATTTGGGGGCTGGGGATTTAGCTCAGTGGCATAAGTGCCTGCCTTGCAAGCAGACAGTCGTGAGTTCGATTCCTGGTACTGATAAAAACAATAAAGACCAAAAAAATAAAATTAACATTATTTGATGTCATTTTCTCACATCTATAAATACTCTAAGAAAATATATCTTTTAATGATACTCAATGAATTTCTCATGCTTGTATTTCACTACTATTCTAACACTAAGTTATGTAATTCCATCAGAACACAAATTTTATATGTAGTTCCAAGATGGAGAATTTAGGGAAAAAGTTCATGAATATTTTAAGGCACTTACCAAATATAGTCATGTAAATATGATAAATATGTTAATGAATAAACAGGCAGATAGAAGTTGTTTATACTCCCCAGCTGTGTGCGATGATGATAATCTATCTCACTGCCTCTCATCAGCACTGCACACTGTATTCAACTCAGCAGCTTTAAAGCTGTGTTGGTCTTTTATTTTTATTGCTCTGATCAAGATGAGGCTGAACAACTTTTGTCATGCCTCTTGATGACATTTCTTAGGTAATGATCTATGTTATAGTCTTAGTCCACTTCTAAAATGAACATTAGTATTGATCTATAAGCAAACCTTGGTAATTTGAAAAGGATACCAGCCTTCATAATGTTTCTGAAAATGATTTATCCTTAATTTTCTTTGAATTTCTGAGTGAAGATTTAAATAATTACGTGGACAAATTTTTTCTTTAGTGATGATTTGCACTAACTTTATCCTGAGAAAATCTTGGACAATTTCTCCTAGCATTTAACTCTTTAATCCATCTGGAATCAATTTAGTTTTAAGAACTGATGTGAAAATTTATTTTTTCCATAGTTAATCAATTTTTCTGGTACCTTTTACTGGCTAATCCTTCCTCTTCTTATTCTTTTGACATGCTCTTATTTAATATTTCTTTCTTTATTTTGAAAACGTAAAAGGATAACAATACATAATCTCAACAAAATAGGAAATTAACACTAGTTAATATATTGCATATTGTTATCTTGAAAATAGCTGTTCAGATTGCAAGAATTAGGCATAAAAAATGATCAATCAGACAATGAAAACACAAACTATTCTTTTTGATGAACAGAGATTAGTACTAGTTATCCATCTTGTAGATATTTATACACACACATACATATGTATATGTATACACACACAAATGTATATAATCTTTTCTCTTTCTCCCTATTCCAGTTGTTCTTTCCTTTTGAACACTTTCTTTCCCTTTCATTTTCACAATATCTATTGTACATTTTGGATGTTATTTTCTCTTTTTATATTAGGAGACAATATGATATTCCTTTTTATTTTCTTAAGAGTTAGAGATACTGTCTCATAAAATCAGTATTTGGGACATAAAAATTTACAAAATAACAATACTAAAAACGGGTATGATTGTTATAAAACTCAATATAGCAAATGGGAAAGGGAAAAAACCCAACCTTTGGAGATACGGCTATGAAGTGACAAAAGCCAACAACACATGTTTCTTTCTGTATTTTTCTTTAATGTTTCTTTGGTTTCTGGGAAGCCCGTTCCCATGAGGACTTTGCCTCTTTTGGAAGCTGTTAACTGGCCTTTGCTGACAGAAGGACATTTACGTGGCAAAAGAGTGATGTGCCACAGCCCAGTTAAAAGAATCCCAGAGGTTAGTGTAACACGCACAGCTTTAAATTGGATATTCTGCTGATGCCTCACAGTCGTGAGACCTGTGTATTAAAGCCAGGGCGGCCCCCACCCACCCCTTTCAGACTCTGTTCTTTACATTAGGTACACGCCACGAACAGGAGACAATCCAGCAAGCACTCCAGCAACTGAACTGTGCCAAGGCTGCAAGGTCCGATCCACTCTATTTTTATAGGTCCCCTGATAAAGGAGCCTGTCACATGTATACATATATGACTAATCCTTTAGGGTGTCCCAGAAATGAAAATCCTTGCTGTTGTCAAGTGAATGGAGGATGAATCAACTTATTCCAGTTCTACCCTTAAGTCAGCTGAAGGTTACATCAGCCTTGGATCCCGAATCATCCTTTAACTAGCTGCCAGAGTGCTCCTTCTAATATGCAGGTTCAGTCACATCGCTGCTTGCTCAGAAGCCACAGGGGTGCAATGCCTGGGAAAGGATGTCTCTACCAGCTCCCAGTCTACCTGTAAAGCAGCAGTTCCAGCCACCAGTCTTAACTGCCTTCTCCAAGGTTCTCCCTTGGAATATTTCATCTTGTAGACATAGAAATTATTATGGACTCTTTCTTTCTCTCTTTCACTTATCTTCCAAATTAGACTAGATTTACAACTCTAGCAAACACCTGTCTCACACCAAGACCCCGCACAAGCACCAACCTCCTTTTCAAAGCCTTTCTTTGGCTCCCCTAGACACATGTACCATGATTATACTTTGAATATATTTACAAGAGACAGGTAAGTGGCTAGGCTTTCAACAATACTGACCTACCATTTTCATGAGTCCCACAGAGTAGGGTATATGACTCCAATTCCAGAATAGTAACAATAATTTAGACATACAAATATACTACTTTTAGAAAACTGAGTTGTTTGTTCATTTATTCACTAATATGCTTATTAAAGCACTTCAAAGTCGATGAAGTACTATACAAACACAAAAATCATCACATGAATTTATTTATGATTCTCTGAAACAGTCATTTGATAGGGTGGTCCTTTTTGAAACAGAACTTGATCACCTGCTTCTTTTAAGCTTAAATTGTTTTGGGTCAAAATCTTATCTTCAGATAATGTTTCTTCCAGGTCTCCTGAACTTTGAAATAAGTTCACCATGCTAAAATCCAGGATTTTACAATTACTTATCCTTCGTTTAAAAAAACAAAATCAAGGTTTTAAGATGCTTGATGACTTCTAAGAGCCAGATCTCTCCAACTAGAATAAAATGCATTCACTCATTTGATTAGGAAAACAAACAAACAAAGCAGAAAACTGTTTGGCTCTATAACAAGGACTTTTTAAAAAAATTACTAAATGGCACAAATTATGTGTATCATTACTTAAGAATAGTGGCTAAGCTGATTACTTTTTAAGAAAAGTCTTACTATGTAAAGTATGCTTAGCCAGAAATAATACATTATATCCTATAGAATATCACTAGCTACTTTTTCTAAAGTAAGAATCCTTAAACAGTTATGCCTATTCCTTAACAGAAAACAAAATTTTAAAAGACAAAATTTTAAAGTAATGAAAGTATACAATTTGAAGTATAGTCAACAAAGGGATATTGTGCATATTTAATTAAAGCACACGTTGAGGAAAATGCTCCTATCAAAATCTCACTCAGTAGGCGAACAGAAAGATAGTACGTGTAAAATTTGCCCAAAGTCATTAGTCACAATGAATATTCATCAGAAGCCAATTATCAATCCCATTTAATGACACCCCAAAAGATTTTGCCCTGAAGCAGCTGAATAGTCTAAGATTCCAGACAAAACTAGACAAATTATACAGCCAACAGCCAGTCTAGCCAGGACACAGATTGTAAAGTAAACCACTGGTGGGTTTTTGGCTGTAGTTTAGCAAATTCTGTCCTCAATTAAAGGTGCACAAGGTCAGTTACATCTTGGAGCTTTCTTTATGTCTCCATTAATTTTCATAGAGGCCAAGGGAGAAAAAAAAGATGGCTGTGGGGGTAGGATATGAATGGCGCATGATCAAGGGTGTAGGTGGAAAATTACAAGGACACTTTTTTTTTTAAAGGTTTCTCAGAAATACTGTTCAGCGTGTCAAAATCTAAGGTTCCACTGCTTTGGCTGATTCCTAATAGCAGCTCCGCAACTAAACATGGAATCAAAAGTAAGAATGCTCTCTCGAAAAAGAAAAAACAACAAAAATCCCCAGTGTATGTGCCAGGCACCACGCTGGGAGCTGAGGCCCTTGCAAAGCACTCTTTTAAAGGAATGTGTGTAGACGTGCATGTACACTTCCACTACGTTTCACAGATAAGGAAAAGGTCTCGGAGGTGAAACAACTCCTCCAAGGCCACATCACTAGTAAGTGACAGAACCAGGACTCACATCCAGGTCTGTCAGACTATAATGGCCACTGTTTCCACAAGGCATAAATTAGCTCAAAAAGTGTTTGTGTGCCTCCCTGTGCCATCCACTGTGCTAAGGATCCTGAAATGGATAAGGTGTTATCCCAACTGGCACTGCCCAACTGTGTAGATATGCATTTGCCTTGCTGCTGGATGACCAAACACCTAGGACAAAATACTACCAACAGGAAGCATCTTTTTGTTTTCTTTTTCTTTTTTTTTTTAACAAGAAAAATAACACACATGCCTAAGGCATGGAAGTATTTAGCTTGGAAATAATCATCTTTAAAACAAATTCACATCTGGTCATTTCCTTGGGATTAGTCACATTTAAGGTGCTGCAGTGTCTTTAATCCACAGGAAATGCTAGACGAAGTAACGATTGTTAGCAAGAGGGAAAGGTTTAAGTGCCGTCTTAGGCACACGCCA